ATCTTCTAGATTTTTCAGATAAATACATTATTGTATGCATTATTCTCAGGTAATGCTGATGAGCATCTGTAAAAATTTTGTGAGTTAAATACTGCATAAGGAAAGGGATTTTATAGGTAGGCTGATAATGAATAATATACCATATGTTAAAACTTTTGGTCTTCTATGTCTATTTTGTTTTCTATGTCTAATATTGGTAACTGGTGTTGACACAACTGCTCAGTGGCTAAAAATGAATTAGTGTATTGTTCAGATCTGTGATGCATTTTACATTGCAAATACAAAATCCATGCTGTTGAATTTGCATTCTGCTATTATTTATAACTTAAATACATCATGTATATGTTAAGTTGTGTTTATAGACTCTCTAAAAACTTGAATTAAAAAAAAAATGCTCATGTGACAAGGTCAAATGAAAGATGCACTTTAACAGCAGCTTTTGCTGTTATTCTTCTACATCTCAAATTAAATGTAGCACAGTATAAATGGGTGTTTCTTCTATCAAATCATTTCTAACTATTAGACCCTGGACTGTTATTTTATGAGGACAAATTATGTGAATTATGGTGGACTTTATAAGGCACTGTACCCTCAACAGCTAGGCCTGGGAAGGCAACAGAGATACCTTGATCTCAGCCCCCTATCCACACATGTGCTTTATCCTTACCTTTTTCACTGACCAGGTGTTTAGCTCATATGAAAGAACAATTAGTTTCCTCACCCTCTTCACAGTTTACAGATAACTTTCTCAAAAATTTTCACTTCAGTTTTTCTTCTGTTGTCCCATCTAGAAAATTCCAGAATTAGCAAAAGATCATCCAACTGAAAAAGGCCCAAAATCTTTTCAGATTAGCAGGAAGCTGATAAATACTGCAGAACAACAAATGCCAAAGCTAACCTGCTACAATTTTTTTTTTTCATTAGTAATGCTTTAATAATGATCTTTAAATAGCATAGCAAGGATATAATTTCAGTGTTTTCATAAGACTTTTACGCATCTTATTAATAATCTTTGAAGCTACTCAATTAGCCATGTAATCTGTACAGTTGAATACACTGAAGATGACAGTCTGAAGAGTTTTCTTCAGCTGGTTTCATGGTCATGGTTGCTATTAGATTTGCTGATTTCTTAATCTTCTCAATGCAGTTCCAGAGAAGGTAGTCTGTGGTCTGCTTTAATGTATACAAGATGAAAGGAAGTTTCCAGGAGCACATCTGTGTTCTGGTCCTGAAAATGGAGCGCTATAACTCAGCTGCTTCTTTAATACTTTCACTGGAAAAGTGAATCAGGAATTACTGTGTAATTGGCATGCAACATCAATTCACTAATACGACTTTTTATGATACAATGCATGCCTGTTTCAGTGAGTACTGTTCTGAATGGCAGCCACTTAGCTGTCAAAATTTTGGCAGCAACTCTAGAAAATCCTGCAAAATAGAGTAGCTGTAGGAAGGAAGGCTGCAGTGTGAAGGAACAGGATCTTGTGTGCTGAAGGAAACCACCTCTGAGTTAACGAGGAGAATGCAGCCACTGAGCATCATAAAAGAATTTGCTATTTGTAGTGTATTAATATCTTGCAGAAGTTTAAGGTGTCATGTCCATAAAACCATCGTTCCATACTGCTGTCCAGTAATTTAACACAGCCTGGAAGAGAGAGAGAGAGATGTGGTCTGTGCTTGCATAAGCAGAAGCAACTGAGTAGTTACTCGCCCTCTGATGCTTTGCTGTGAAAAGTAAGATAAAAACCTACTGCACATAGAACCTGTTCATGTTGTTGGTCCTTCTGTCCTTTCAGTATGACCAACGCATTTTAAAAGCTTCCAAAGTGTAGCAGACATCTCATTTATATGAAACCAAGATGCACCCAAATATTTTACAGTTGAACTTAAGATGAAAATTTTCCTACTATTTGGCAGCAAACTAAATAGGAAAAGATCTGAAAGAGGATCTGGTAAGGCTAGTGCTCTTGCAGTACTAGGAGTGAATTTTTTCATAGGATACCAAATAATAAATCAATTTAATTTCTCTCCAGAGATGAGAGGTGTTAAAGAAATGGCAACAGTAATGTTTTGGAAGTATATTCATTCTTGATGCATCTGCTAAAGTGTGTAAATGTACTTTAAATTTTATTTTATTTATCTGTGGAGTTAGCAGTTTCCTTATTTCCTTACTGAAGAAAACGATATAAAATATCTGAGTTGGTTAGGATAGTTCCTTGTTTAGCGAGTAGAGCTACTTTGGAGACAAGCTGGCTATAATTAGAGATTTGAGTGTTGGTGCCTTCCCATAGTGTTCCTCAAGTTGCAGTTTAAAAAAAAAAAATTTCTTGACCTTGGGTTTTTTTTTAGGTTATTGTTGCCCCACCTTTTACTGGTCGCTCCTAGTGGTTATATTGCTTCTGTCAGTCATAACGAATATTCGGGTAATTTTTGTAGTACTTTTTAGATGATCCACAGTAAATACTCCGGAGCTTTATGGGGTCTTCAGAAGCACTGAGCCTGGCAGGTGAAGATAAAGAGCTTATATGGCATGATGCCCTGTGGGAAGCTACTGTAGAAAGTAGACTGGCTTCCTGTGGTGCTGGTGTCGCGTGTTCTGTATCAGCCCAGCTTTCTGAAGAGCTGATGGTGGGGTGTGCCCAGGTACAGTCCAGATATGGCGTGAACCACAGTGCTCCAGACTTGCTCCCTCTAAGGTGGCTAGAAACAGTTCTGATGTTGCAAACCAGAGACGTATTTATATCCTAGGTTTTTAAATACATAACTTCATTACAAAATAAATTATGTTTATCAACTCAACTAATATTTGTTTATTTTGCCACATTTCATAAAGCTTTGGTAACTTGGGTTTTACTAAATTTTAACCTTAATTGTGGAAACTCCTGCATAAGTGAATCTCTCAAAGAATTAATGTTGGTGGTTTGTTTGTTTTGTTTTTTTTTTTTTTTTTTTCCCCTAATATTCTAGTCTCTTTTCCTAGCACGTGACAGAGCTGTAGAAGGTGTTATGAATAGAAGCTGAGCAATGGTTCACAACGAGCAGTGTACAATCTGTTAAGTGTGCTGTCTTATTTTTCTGTGTTACAAGTGATTTGGACTGCGAGGAAGTGAGAAGCTTAGTCCTGCCAGGAAAACAAAAAATCCTAAGAGGTTGAGAACAGTTTCTTACTTATTTTCTTACCTCAAGAAAACTGTGATTATGATGAAGTCTGAAAAGACTGAGATAAGCCATAGACAGCAAATGCATTCAGTTCCTGGCCAAGTGCTTATGTCCACTCTGGAAAACAAACCTCCAGAGCAGCCTGGCTGTGGATGCTCCACGTAACTGGTCACGGGTCTCCTGTGGGCCCGTGTGATCCTGTGGCCTGCAGATGCAGTTGCTTAGTTGTATTTCCTTCAGACACTCTGAGGAAGAAAAAAGGACAGTCTTCCTGCAACTGCCAGGAGGATGGTGTGTTAATTGAGAAAACAGTATTTATGTTGCATACTCATTGCAGCAGCAGGAGAACATGAGGAGATGCTTAAGAAGTCAGGGTCTGTTAGGATAGGGCCCAAGCAGTGTGTAGGAAGGAGTGCACGCTCTTATTGGTAGTCTACCTCGTGAACGCTTATTTCTGCTTTTCAGGAGAGTTTATTGGAGTTAGCTATCCCCAGAACCACATCTTTTTGTTTGTTTATTTGTTCTATGGGGAACTGATTGGCTTATTCTAAAAAATAGTTTAGGAGTGAATAGTAATTATGCAGCGTGGATGTTCAAGGTAACAGATTATTGGAATGAATTAGGAGGTCAGTTATTACTTGACAGCACAGTCATCTTATTGTTATCTCTTGAGAATATTTTTAAGTAAAAGCTGAGAGACTCATTTTATGAGAGTATTTCTGAGGCTTATTGAGATCCCACATTTTCAATACCAGGTGGCTAATGAAGAACTGTTTACTTCAGTTATTGTATATACCTTGCAAGGCATTCTGTGACTGAGTGATTCCATTTGAATTAGCTAGTATTATTTGAATTTTAGGGTTTGAATTTTGTGAAAATGCTCTGTTTCTCCTGTAAATAGTATGTTGCTTCAACAGTAGGGAAAGATCAGATGACAGGTTTCCTGGTACAAAATTATAGCAGTTTCTGGTTTTCTGTTTGAGGAACTGTCACAAGGGAGCTGCATGTGCTGTTTATAAAGATGATAAGGGAATTAAGTTTGGTTACTTATCTGTTCCAAAAGCTAAGTGAAGACGTGAACTTAGGTGTATTTCTGAAAGAATACAAGATTGGGCAATTTGTTTATCTAGTGTTGTGTTATTAATACCCTTAACACTGCAGTCTTTGGACTTCATGGATTTTAGTCTGCTTTAAGGCTCTAGTAATCCAGTTGCTTTGCCCCACCCTTGGGTTTGAGGTGTAAGATAACAAATCCCCTTTGGTAGACATCTTGGTAAGCACACATGGAAGTGTGGTAAAGTACTAGACACTGACATGGTATGTTATACTCAGCCACTATCTGTTATTGAAAATATTCCACTAATACTCACTTTAAAGTTTCAGAATTTATTTTGTCTGTGCCTAAGAAGTCTTACTCCAGTGTTACCTCAGAAATTGAAAGTCTTAACTCTTACAGCCAATGTCATCAGTTTATACAGTGATGATTTTGAAGAAATCTAATGTATTGGAACTTGCTCATTAAATAAGTAGAAGATGCTGTAAGGATTTTGAAGGAGAACAATTCTGTCATCTATGTTTCAAAATTTGTGTGAATACTTTTTTTTTTTTAAGGTAATTTTTACTGCTAGATAACACTCTCCTGAAAAAATCTGATTCTGAACATGAAATTACTATGCTTTAGAACTGTCAGTATAGCTTTTCACCCACTTTTTCAAAAAATACTAATGTTACTTTAGCTTCCACTACTTTGTACTTCTGAGAATGAATATTATTTTACTGTTGTCCCACTGTCATTCAACAAATATAGGTGCATTTATGCCATCTCTGCATGTTTATTTCAGTGCAATGCGTGTATTGTTGTCCAAGTTACCACGACCATGGATTGTTGACGAGAAGAAGGATGATGGTTATACTGCCTTGCATCTGGCAGCTCTCAATAATCATGTGGAAGTGGCTGAACTTTTGGTGCATCAGGTAGGACTCTCATTCTCAGGAGGATTTAAATGTCACACTTCAGTTAACCATCTGATATGAAAATAGTTTGCTGCAATCGCAATGCAGAAGCAATGGAGCAGGGAAGGACACGTGGTGAGCTCTAAAGGTTAAACTTGCCTTTGAGATCATTACAATGGCCTAATGGTGCAGAAGGACTGAAAAATTTGATCCCTAATTTGATTCAACAGACCAACATCTGTACAGTGAATGAAGTATTTAATCACTTCTGCTCTCAAATCTCCAAATGAGGAGTCATATTCCAGGTCATGTTCAGTGCCGTAATGGACTGCCGTGCGTGTGGATGAATTGCAGGGACGATAGTGCTCTAATGCTTTGAATGTCTTTCAGGGCAATGCTAATCTGGATATCCAGAATGTTAACCAGCAAACTGCTCTGCACCTTGCCGTTGAACGACAGCATACACAAATTGTTAGGGTAAGTATGCTATTTGCAATAAGCCATATGGTTAATGGCACTTGACTCAAGCTGATTGTAGCTGCTAAGACATAAGTACTTTATGAACATTTTAAAAAGTATTTAGCAACATGTAGCCATTGAATGTTTATGTGATTAATTTTGATCAACTCAGAAACCTGCCAACTTGCACAGAGGGTCAGTTGGCAATATGAAGGACATTTCAGGAATTCTGAATTTTTGTACGTGTACATTATGACTTCCTCTATGCAGTTGCCAATTCCAGCATCCTTCCTTGGTAAATAAGGGAGCATGTGTTCTTCTGTTACTTTTCTGAGTCTTGGGGTCCTGTAATGGGACCTTCAAATAGCGTTTTTGATGCCTCTTCCTGTATAAGTAATTATTCTTGCTCATAGCTTTTGCAAATTGTAGGTAAGTGAAGCAACTTTTTATGAGTTTAACTACTTTTCAGTTTTCTGAGTGTGTAACTTCCCCTGTTCTTAGCTTGGGAGATATATAAGCAGTAACAAAACTACCTTACTGGTGAAAGTAATGCTATTTCTGTTTTTTTGCTCACACGGTTGAAAAAGCTAATACTTCATTTAACAAAACTTTGTTACTGGCACCGGAAATGAGAGTCTGGCACGGCTTGCCCATTCTGGCCTGTGTGCGCTGTCCATACAGGACCTATGTGACTTAGTGTTTGGGTTGCTGGGATGGGCTGTTGAGGCTCAGAGAGAGCACTTGCTACTGTAGGAGTTTTTCCCTATGAGTGAAAACATCAACCTGGCCTTGGCCCTCTGCATACGCTTTTTAAATTTGTCTTTGTAGGGCGAGAGTCATCTTATATTAAAAAACTGTCTCTTATTTAGGCCTACAGAGAATTGTTCCCCCAATGCAGACCTATATCTGCAGTTCTGTTTAGCGTCATTTTGCTGTAAGATTTCTCCATCTTCAGGAGTTGATGGATATGATTCCATTATAGTGAAACATGTGATCTGGCCCCGTATCTGGAACTGCTTGCTACCAAAAGAATGGTTTCCTAGAGTCGGTGTCACTTGCATCCTGCAAGCTATTTGGCAGCTATATTTGGTGAGCTCTTGTGCCCTTCTGGAACTGACATGGTACCTGAGAATACAATATTAATGTAGCAGATGAGCAGGAAGGTAGGCATGTAGAAGAACTAGTATGTGTATTGGACTGACATGCTTATATCCAAGAATGTTTAAGTGAATGACCCTGTAGCGTATCCGTACTTCAGAGTTGGATTAACTTTGAGAAGTCCTAAAATAACTTATGCAGCCATGCAAAGAACATGTTGGCTCTGTATATCAAAATTAATTCCTATTGGGTACCTTCCAGGACTGGGTTGTACCCTCAGGCATCTGTGGAATAGTGGTCAAAGGTAGCAGGGTTCTTTTAGAAGCTAGTCTGCTATGACAAAGGGTGGTGGTCTGCATTTTTTTTCCCCCTCCCTTTTTTTAAAAAAACAAAACAAAACCAAAAACCAAAACAAAACCAAAAAAACCAAAACCCAAGCTTCTGGAAAGGCTTTGAATTTCTATGATAGTCAAGGATTCCAGGTTGCTCTGCAAAGAGTTCTCTTGCAGATTTTCTTCTAGGGGAAACTCTTAAGCAGTAAATAGCTAGTGGCAGACACAAGGTAGGAATATGAGAAAGAAAAATTGGACCAGAGTAAGTCCATTTAGAGAGTGTAAGAAGCTAGGTGGAGACTGTTGCAACTGTTAGCTGGTTTTCTTGGTTTCACTTGTGGAATGAAAGGTTGGGGGAAATGGTGAGCTGCAGGCAATTACAGGCAGATATTTCCTTGAAAGCTAAATTCTTAATTCCTTTTTAAGCTTTTTCCCTTTTAGCGTTTTCTAGAATCTGAGATTCTTTGGTTCCAAGAGGCTGAGATCGTTGCAAGCATGTGGGTTCTGAAGAGGGAGATCCCCCTTCCATGTATTCCTGTTTGTCTCTGCTGCTAATCTGAGTTTTAAAGAGTAGCAAAAGCTCAAAACTAAAGCTAAAACCTCAGCTGCTATCTACAGGTTTCTGAATAGCGACGGTGACAGGGTTGAATTTTTAGGGGCAATTGTTACTTGTCAGCATGTGTTGGTTTGTTTTGTTTAACAGCATATTTAAGAAAGTTCTGCTGCATTGAATTATAGGAGGGCTGTATGCAAAGGCAATGTGAATACGAGGGCCTGTGCAGCCTTATGCTTGCTGTCATGTCATGTGACCCCTGGAACATGTGTCTAAAATTAGCCTTAAAGATGAGTCTTAGTTCATTACTTCCCAAAGTGTTCTGAGACAGTATTTAATAGTGGCATTGGTTTTTATGTCTTCTGCTGAATAAGGGTAAACCTAAGTACGTGCTTAACTACTTTGCTAATGGAAGGATACTGTAAATTAAGTTGTAAAGTTTAGGATGGTGTGAAAGCAGTGATTTTTTTGAGGTCATTGAAACCTAATTGTAAAGAATATATACATATATACAATACTGCCCACTTGCTCTGTTTCTAGTACACTGCTGTAATATGTTACATTGTTTGTAGGCTATCTTGTAAGAATTAAATGTTTTGGACAGTAGAAAGAATCCCCTAAAATAGGATCTCTTGCAGTGCTCCCTCAGAGCACAGGCAAGCATTAGGCTTCTGCTGAAATAAACTTGATATTTGAAAGAGATAGATGCTTCAGTTGATACCTGAGCTCCAAAATGGAAAATAAATTTAAACAAAGTCAACTGTGAATTTCAGAAAGATAAAATAATAACCTTTCTGTACCTACGAGAGCATCTTAAACCAAAGTTTCCTGATACTAGTTTTAAAAGGAATAAATAGGTTTTTATGAGTTTTAAATTGGATTCTTTCTCTTTTCAGCTCTTAGTTCGTGCAGGTGCTAAGCTGGATATTCAGGATAAAGATGGGGATACTCCCCTGCATGAAGCCCTGAGACACCACACCTTGTCACAGCTCCGCCAACTCCAAGACATGCAAGATGTGGGCAAGGTAGATACTGCTTGGGAGCCATCAAAGAACACAGTAAATAAAATGCATTTATTCCTTTTTTTTCCCTGTACATTTGTCTCTTTATTGGTCTAGTTTGTCTAGTTCTGTATTGTTGAGCTGGTTTTTGGCAGTTTCAGTTTAATGTAGACATTCTGCATTAAACTACAGTATAGGCATAAATCATATTCTTATATGTGGCTTTTCACATGTAATCATTACCTTTGTTAAAGAAAAATAAGGTTATTTAGTTCAAAATATTTCTACACATCTGTCTTCCATAGTAAACATATATGGCTGCCAAAAATCAGAAGTTGCTTTTTAGGAAAGAGAAATTAATAGTATTACAATATAGAATAAGACTAAAATTGTTTTCTGTGATTCAACATCTTGCATGTCTTTGTAGCTTTAATTGTTAAGCTGCTTCTATAACATTCTGAATGTTTGTTCTGTTAGAACAAGGCATTCTCAATCTTTGTGTGTTTATTATTATGTAACTGACAGTTAATTTCAGGAATTGTGCTGTAGTAAGGAAATAGTCAAAGAAACTCCAGGTAATAAAGGTCAAAATCTTTTACTGAAAAAAGAAACGCTGACACCCAGAAAGCTGTGTGAACCCATATGCAAAGATGAAGTTTATAGTTTTGCTGATAGGCAAAGGAGAAATAAAATTCTGGAGTGATTGGGATTGAGAAAAACAAACAACTTTAAATATTAAAGACGCACAACATAATGGTGGATCAGATTTACTGAATCATTAGTAACCAGTGTGATAATATTTTTTCTAATTTTAGGTGTAGGTGGTATTTTTTTTTTGCATTTCATTAAAAAAAAACCCTCCACCCAGTTTACCTAAAATGCCTTTGTTCAAAACAGTAATTCCACTGTACAGCAAATGTTTTTCAGATGGGTTACTTAGTCTCACTGAAATAAACTGGAATAAGCTTTGTGAAGAGATTTAAAATATGACTGGCATATGTAGGAAAATGTTTGTGTCCTTTTAAGTGAGAGGAGGAAAGCAATTACAGCTTAGTGGTTTCCATGATCTGAAATGGATGCTGTGAGGGGTGGCCAGAATACTTTGTGTGCATGTATTTAATTGTGAAACGAATGAACAGGAGCTAAATACTTTATCTCTGATTCAGCATTTCATAAATAGCTTTTGCTATTGCCCATCTTATTAGAAACATTCGCAATGAAACTAGAGTTCTTGTGGTTTTAATTCTTTAACACAAGAAGTGGGGCTTTTTTTCTACCACCTTTTAAAATTTTAGTTTTGGAGGATTTTGTTTAAAAGAATTAAGTTTTTCTTCTAGTTTCATTTGAGATATATCCTGAGTTAAAAAAAAATATATATTTTTCTGTTTTATTTCTATTAAAATAATAATTTTTGAAAGAGCAAGGGGGAAGACACTACAACAAACAAACAAATAAATCCCTGCGTGAGTGTATCTCTGATCACCTAAAAATGTTATAAAGTTTAACAAAAACCCATGATCAACCAGTACCTCCTTGATCAAACTATTGGTCATTTTTTGCATTTTGTTTAGCTGGAGAGAAAGTTTCTGACTAGCAAAAAATTTGAGAGGTTTAAGTGGTGTGGAGAAAATGTGCCCTCATAGAAGAGGTGGAAACTTGCATATTTTAATTTTATGTGGCAGCAACATAAGATGTGACTGAAATGTAAAAGATGGAGTAAAGCCTGACGAAATTATACCTGAAAACTCTTTAAGATCAGCAGATGAAACTACCTTGAAAATGTTTTGGTTTTTTTTTTCTCTGGAAAATAGTAAAGGGGGATACTACTTGTACCTATCTACCTTTACTTAAAAAAAGGTAATGTAAAAATGCCATAAACTAGATTTTACCAGTAAACAGTTTTAATAAGCCACCTTTGGCCCAGAATCATATATCAGAAAAAGACAGGATCTAGACTGTTAAAATATATGCAGGCATCTGCACCTTTAAAGGTATCTAAGGACACATTTATAATTTGTGTGGTGTAGAATTGCAAAACAGATGATGGATAATAGAGGATAAATAGGCTTAGTCTGGGAAACTGTAAGGCTTTCTTTTTGTGAATATGATGACTTAAGTTAAATTTATGGAATCTGTATTTTTTTATTAATTCCTTTAAAGATTGGGAAACATGCCAGATTTCTTTAGCTTATGTGATACCAAGTCTGTTATGTAAATCTCTAGTACTTTAGAGCTCATTTTTGCTTGGCTAAATTTTAATTAACTTTGGACTGCTGTCTTGAAGATGACAACCTACTGAGCCCTGTAGGGTGCCTCTTTGTAGCCTTTCAACTAATAATGATTTATTTTTTTTTTCCATTTAATAAACTGAAAAAGAACAAAAATTTCACTTGCAGGATTTCAGATATTTTTCGTATTTGGTGAGGTTAGTTGGACAGCAACTTCATTGAAATTCTACAATTTGTTACTTTTTGCTTTAAGCATAGTTTAAAAAATGAAACAATACTTTTTACTGATATCGTGAACTTATTTCATAAGTGGAATTATATGGAATGAATTCTTGAGCATTGATTTTTTTAGTAGTTCCTTCTGAATGTCAACATAAAGCTGTTGTAATACCTAAAACAATTTTTATTGTGTTTCTTCAAGTTGTTTTTTGATAGACTATTTAAAATGCATATAGGGAACAATCTTGATAGTAGACAAGGCCCTACACATTTTGGGTATCAATCTGTGTTCGAGTGCTATGAGCAGTGAACCCCATTTCTTTAAATAATTTAGAAGTTTTTCATCTAACGCATTGTGATGCTTATACAGCTGGAAGAAGAAGAAATTTTCTGAAGTACAGTCCCTACCACCACAAAAATGTCATTTCGGTTGCTTTATTTACAGATGCAGTGTTCCTTGGTGTAGGGTAGTTTTTATCCTAAATAAATGTGTTATTCCTCAGGCTCATTTACTGTAATTTATATTAATATAGGTATCTTTCAGACTCTTAAAATGCTTTTAACATTCAAAATGATGTCGCTGCCTAAATCCTAACTTAAAAGAAAGAAACTCTGATGGAAGTCAGTTAGGTATTTACAGCTTCAAAGGTAGCTCAGTAGATAAAATTACTGTTTGTATGGATTACACCAAGACTTCTCCCTCACGGGTGAATTGGCTGGGACTGGTTTGTGTTGATGCATCTCAGGTCTAGAACCTCATCTCAGAGGAGGTTTGCTGCAGCCATACTAGGCACTAAGACATAATGGGGGGTTTTGTGCATAGGTTGTTGGCTTTTTTTTTTTTTCCCATTCTGCATGCCTGAAATGTTTCGGAGTACTAGAGAAGTGTCATGAGATGCAATGTTGTCCTGGTGTTTTCAAAGCATACAGTGTGCAGAGGCCTTTTAAGACTCAAGATTTTCTTGAATAATGCTGATGACTGATCCAGATGGAGGAGTCTTGGCATAGTGTATATCCACACCAAGTGAATCAAATGATCTCTGTTTGATTTTCCTCTTGGAGACACACTAGCTGTTTTGTTCCAGAACAGGTTAGAGCCCATAAGGTGCAAATGTGGATGATGAGAACTATTGTCCCAGCATTTGTTCAGTGTAGGCATGCCTTCAAAAATGTCTACTTTACCAACCTCAGAGCAAACCAGCTTTCACTGGGCGTTGAGCTATGTTGGCTGGATCACTGGCATGGTCCAAGGTGCTTGGACTGAAGCTAGATAAAATCTGCTTCACTGGAGCCAGTGCTATAACTGAGGTACAGAGAGATGGCCTGAGTTTATAAACAAAAATGTTCTGTGATCTGAACATCACAAAACAATTTCTGTCTATAACTTACTGATTTTGTGGTATGAAGTCTTTCAAGTTGTACTGTTCTTACCTGGTCATAGGGAAGAATGCAGGACTATGAGTATCTGTGAATTCATGAAGTGTCCTTCAGGAGTCTTGTAGCACGTCAGTAATACTTACTGATGTAAGAACTCCAAAGTAGAAAAAACCTTACAGACTGAGGTTTAAAAGAATTGCTTTCCTAGGAAACTGGGTGGCTGTATGATGAGGAGGATGATCTTGCAGTTACCAAAGTAGGGTAAAGACTTCTAAAACATACTTCACGTGCTGCAAGACATGGACCCAAACCAGGCTGCTTTCTTCAGAAGTCACCACTGAGGAGTGGGGAAATAACTAGAGGGTTTTCGAAAACTGTTTTGTTTGTAGTTCAAACTTCAAGATACACAGTCTTTAGGGCTGCAGTGACAGATACCTGGTATTTGAAATTAATTCCTGTATGCTGTTGTGTCTAAAATAGCACATCTTCTTCTTTAAATACAAAATGATTGTTAATCCAGCCAAAATGACTTCATTTTTAAGGGTGATACTTGACACTCAGCTTCTAGAAGACTAGCTGCAGGTATAGATTGTAGAAACTTGAAGTGACATAGAAAGATGCGCTTCAGTCAAGTTGGGCACTTAAATCAATTAATGGGAAAGGTGCATTCAGAATCCTGCCACTATCTTAGTGTCAAAGCCTTCATAATTCTGGAATTCAGCACTTAAAACTTGTTGAATTGGAGTTGTCCCAGCTGTGCCAAAGCTGTTCCTTTGAATATAGTCTAGTGTAGTTTGCTGAGGGATTCTTAGTGGTGCCAGCAGTTTCATGTTATATGTAGCATTTTATCTGATCAAGCTTTAATACAAAAAGATGTTGGGAGCAGGCCCAGAATGCTCCCAAGAAGGTGAATCCCTCGCCTTGCTGGGCCATGTCCAGTGAGCCTTATCTCTTCATTTTTCTGACTGGCCCCGTGAATGGTGCGTAATAGGTACACTAATACAGAAATACACTAATAGTTGTAAAAGGACATAGGAGCATTATGTGATTAGGACAGAAAGACAGGTATGTGAGTTTAAATGCCTGCAGGCTGAGAAGGCAACTAAAATCAAGTCTTTCTTGGGCAGGACCTTTAATTGCTAAACTAAAAATAAGCGTGCATTTGTTTCCCTGCCCAGCTCTGTTTTCAGTCCAGGTGTGGTGGTAGTAGCATTTTGTTTGAACTCCGCAATTTCAGTATACTTCGAGTGTATTCTGAATACATCCACTGGGACTTTGCCTTATACAGTGTTTATATATAAGGACAGCCACTTTACAAGTGAGTATGGATGTGCAGGAGATTGAGTGCTTCAATAGCTGAACTATTCCTTGCTGAATTTTAGTTCCTTAAATGAAAGTTGAGTATAGCTGACTCAAAATTAAGCAACCATATGATTGTTTTGATTTTAGTTCTAGAGGTGGTTCCTTGGGCTTACAGAATTTATACATATGTGTATATATATATATATGTGTGTGTGTGTATGTGCATGTGCGCATGTCACGTAGTTTTCCTTTAGCCAGACTATTTCTAACTGTTTAGAGAGTCTCTCAAGTTGCTTATGTATTTGTTTTCTTCCAGTTAATAATGGGACTTGGCACTCAGGGAGCAGAGAAGAAGAGTGCAGCATCTATTGCCTGCTTCCTGGCAGCCAACGGAGCTGACCTCAGCATTCGTAATAAGAAGGGTCAGTCACCTCTTGATCTCTGCCCTGATCCTAGTCTCTGCAAAGCACTGGCTAAATGTCACAAAGAAAAAGTCAGGTTTGTATATTCATAAAATATGCAGTTTCCAAATCTCTGCTTTCTCTAGATTAACTGATGTATATGAAACATTGTGCCTTTATTACCAGTAGTGTTAAAACACACAATCTTAGTCTTGACTTTCAGTTAATTGTTTATTTTCTGTGGTACATTGAATGCTATTTACAGATGCATTGGTTGAAACTTACACAAGTCTTACAGGACTTTCATACATGTTAATACGGGAAGGAGAAGAATGGGGAGATGGCAACATGCAGGTGGAGTTTGATAGAACTTCAATCCCAGAAAAGCAGGGGAGGGGGAAATCAGTGAAAGAATAACTAAACATTGCGGCAAGTTGCCCAGGGAGGTTGTGAGATCTCTGTCCATGCAAGTTTTGAAGACTGGGATGGGCAAAGCCCAGTATAACCTGATGTGAATTCAGTGTTGACACTGCTTTGAGCATGTGACTTCCTGAGTACCTGTCAACCCGCATGATTGTATGATCCTGTAAAAAGAGGAGGAAGGGATAGGTCTGATGTTTCAGAAGCACTTCTCGAGGAATTATGATTTCAGTGAAATGTCATGTTATCAAGTGCATGCAATTTGAGAAGTTTCAGCTTGCTGCTTGTCCTACTTGGTTTACATGATTGTCGTCCTTAATTTCTGTATGGAAATCAACAATGTACTTTCAAAATCTCATGAAGAGAGACTGTTTTTGTCAATCCTGCCCTGGTGTGTAAGGTTCTTATTTAGTCTTTCTGTCCGTGTCTGTCCATCTGTCTCTGCCTCATCCCTGTGCTGTTCTTTCTCACCTTTTATGGACTTGTGAGGCCCGTAGGAGTGAGTTGGTTGGGTTCAACGTGCGCTCCCTCTGCTGGGTGAGCAGCAGCATAGGACACAGTTCCGAGGTGAAGTCACTGTGGGAGTTTGGGAGGTTCTTTTGCAAGCCTGTCATTTGCTAAGTATTGGAAGTATATTCAAGGTTAAGGTGTTAAGATGTGCAGTTATGAATCTACAGGGTATGACTCTATTAATAAAGTAAATTCTTAGGATGGGAGGGAAGTGTTTTTTACACTCAAGAGTTGCTATTCTAACTTGTGTGCCCTGTTTCTACGCAATGTCTTATCTGAGAATGTGACCTTGCACTCTGGTGTCAACTGTGTGTTTGGGAAGGTGCAGTTTGGAATGCTTTATGATGCCTGAATGCATAGGAGTATATAGATAAACATCCAATTGATGTGCCTTTTAAATTAAGAATTTTAAAAATTCTTTAAGCTTGACTGCAAGGTTTCTTTGTAGTGGTCAGGTTGGTTCCCGAAGTCCATCTATGATCAACAATGATTCTGAAACCTTAGAAGAATGTATGGTGTGTTCAGACATGAAGAGGGATACTCTGTTTGGCCCATGTGGACACATTGCCACGTGTTCCCTGTGCTCACCACGGGTGAAAAAATGCCTCATCTGTAAAGAACAAGTTCAGTCTAGGACAAAGGTAAAAATTCAAAAGTTTATTGGTTTTCTTTCTGTTTTTAATGGAAAAGTAAAAAGAATATGAGGGAAAAGGTGATATTTTAAGCGGTATTTTGCCTTACAGATGTCTCACTGGATGAAATTAATTTTGCATTGTAATAGTATCTTGTCCCAACATTGTACGTTGCTCTTTTCTGTTTGCCAGTACTCATGTTCTACCTGCCCCTAAGTCTCTTCTCACCTTGCAATGCCTTTATTGTTCAGGTTCTCAGAGTTCCTCATACAGTAACCTGAGGATGCTTTATTTACATAGATACTATTGCCCTCATCCCCTGTGGTATTTTTTTTTCTGTGTTAAGATAAATTCTTGCTTTTCCTGAAGTATAGTTTCTTTCAGTAACATTCAGTTCTGAGTTCTTTTATTCCTTAGGACTGCTTGGAAAGATGATTTGCCTGTAAACTGAGTTAGTTAATATGTGCTTGTTTCTGAAGTTAATAATTACTTTCAGCTTCCACCTTCTCTTTCCTTGGAATCAAAAATGTCATTATGCTGTCTGTCTTCTTCAGAGTATCAACCAGTTGTGCCCTGTTTTGGGGACCTAATCCCAGTAAGGTCCTCAGGTTTCTCAAATGATTGCTCCTAAGTATTTGTGACTGTATGGGTGCATCCCTGTTGTTTTTCTGTTTGAGTATTCTTTTATTCCCCATAACCACAAAGTCTTGTCCTCCTGTTGCTATTTGGCTGTTTTTTTTTTAAAAAAAAAAAGTTAACTTAGAGTAAGCTCCTTTTCTCTAGACTTCCTTCATAGTCAGTGAAAAGGATCTGCCACTGAGTGAATCAGAGCACTTCTGCTTCCCTTCATCCATCTAAGGAGGCTAATCTATGGAAATCAGCTTTTCTAGGTGAAAACAAACCTTTGTGGATAACCTTCCTTTCATTTCTTTTGCCACATTAGAATGAGAGAGTGGAATATCTGTTCAATACTTCTCTTTTACTCTTCTATATAAAAACTTACAGTAATTTTGCAGATCAAGGCTAAGAAATTAATGAACCTGGACAACAGTTCTATGAACTGGAAGAGGTGGTCCAGGCCAGTATGAATCGAGTGGTATATGGTGTCACACTGTATATACAGTTCATCATATTAAAGGGCTTGAGAAACCCTAACACAGAATATTAAAACAGATTACTATAAAAGTCTCTTATAAGTGAATTTCATAGAATCATAGAATAGTTTGGGTTGGAGAGGACCTTTAAAGTTAGTCATCTAGTCCAACCACCCTGCAGTGAGCAAGGACATCTTCAACTTGATAGGTTGCTTAGAGCATCCAACCTGACCTTGAATGTTTCCAGGGATGGGGCACCTACCACCTCTCTGGGCTCCTTAAAGTCCACATGCTTTGCCAAAGAGAGCATAAAAGCAAATTAATGTAGAGAACAGGACATAACGTTTTCTTACACGTGCATTTATTGTTCTTTACAGATTGAAGAATGTGTAGTATGTTCAGACAAAAAGGCAGCAGTGCTTTTCCAGCCTTGTGGCCATATGTGTGCCTGTGAGAGTAAGTAAACTTGATGGGAGTTATTTTTTTAAGTAATCGTGAAACAGTGTTTTTAATCAGATTGCTAAAAACTCATTAATAATCTGACTTCAGGTCCAATTTACTTGATAGTCTGGTGTGGTAGTCAGAGTTTTGTCATTATTTGGCATGTTGATAATGAAATAATTGGAGGTCAGACTGGAGGTTTTCAGAAATTCAGAAAGCAAATGCTTTTCCATCTGAATTATTAATTGTGAGTAGGTTTGCTCAGATGATAGAAGCCTACTGTATATCATCAAAACTTTTATGAAGTAATTAGAATTAATGTTATTGCTGCTTTGCAGATTTTTTTTTATTCAGATATACAAATGTTTTTTTAAAAAAACGTTGTACATAAATAATTAATATGCTTTATTACTTATCTACAGGTTTTCACAAGGGCTATATTTTTTTCTAGAAGACTTATCATACATCTTTGCAAAGAGTATCAGTTATGATTCCCTCTTATTTACCTTCTGTAGCAAAAAAGACATAGGAGATCCCCAGATTTTGGGGGGGGATTGATAATATGTGGATGAGAATGCAGCCATCACCACCTCACTAGGCATTTAAGGGCTTTGTTGAAGGGTCATTTGCCTAGAAGAGATCAGTCCTTGTTGCTGAGGATCTACATAAGTAACTGCCTAGTTGGTCTCGCTAAAGAAGTCTGGTTTCTTCCTCTGTTCTGGCTGAGACACCTGACATTGAATCACTGACTTCATAGTTATTCTGACCTGGCCTCTTTCACTGTCTGCAGTCGAAAGATGATGATAGAAGTTTTTTTGATTAGTTTCCCAGGAAAGGACAGCAAAACAATTGATTGCTGTGGTGAAGGATTTCATCAGTGCAATACACATCACCAAGTCTGAGCTGTGACAAGGACAGCGAAAGGTTTAACAGATGTAGATGGTTTCTTTCCTTCTTCAAGCAGGATGAGAGAGTCTTCAAGTTTGTGTAGTTTATACGATCCACTCTGATTCACAGTAACCTTCGGCATTTATGAGATATAATCATTTGCCTTTTGTAGAAGAATTACAGCCTCCCTTTTAGGATTATATCAAAAGATAGAGGTTTAGGGGTAAGGAGCCACACCTGTTTGCCCCTGCAACGTTAGGACAGTAAGTGAGATCCTTTGTTCTAAAGGAGAGAGGATGTAGTCAAGAGAAGCTCTGGTCTCAAATGTGTGTGATTTTACTTTTTTAACTTCTCTAATTCTCGTCAAATAGACATCCATTTAGAGAAAGAGGAAGCTGCTCACTTGAAATATGTTAAAAGAAGATAAACAGAATGTTTACTTTGAATCTCAAACAAGACACTGTTTATAGGTGTGATTTGCAGAAAATGATGTGAAGGTGAACACAAGTAGCTATTTGTATTACAAACATTTATTATGGCATTGCTATATAGTTACTGTGAATAACCAAGCTCATGTACAGGAAAGGAGAAAAATGAAATATCCGGATTCAGTTGATATATTTCTCTGTCCTCTCAGACTGTGCAAGCTTAATGAAGAAATGTGTACAGTGTCGGGCAGTGGTTGAGCGAAGAGTGCCTTTCATAATGTGCTGCGGAGGGAAAGGTACAGAAGATACCACTGATGATATTTGTGAGTGACTCCAAAACCCATACTCTTTCACATTCCCCCACCAGCTTCTTGTTATCATTCTTTTAAATGATCACTTTAAAGAAAAGTTTAATAAAAATAGTGTTAAGCCAGGTATATATTTGCTGTTCCTACATTAATATCAGCAGGTGTGATGGTATCACCAGTCATTACACTGAAGGATTGCTTCCAGCATCCAGAGTAAAAGCTGAAACATGTATGACTTCCCAGAACTCTCTGGCTGATAAAGGAATGGTAAATACTTTGTTTCTAGGTACAAGCAACTTTCATGACGGATTGTTCAGTTTTACATCTCCTGCTTTGGCTAGTTTTTAAACTTCTTGTGACTTCTCTGAATAATTTCTATTAATTATTTGTATTTACTCTTGTGTGTGTGTGCGTGTGGTATGCTGTGTTTGAATTGAGTTTCTGTGAATTGGGATATGAAGTCATTCTTGTCATACTGTTCTTAAGTAGGTAAATATAAGAATAATCCTTAAAATCAGGTTTTTAATACTCACACGGGAAATTTAAAATTTGTTATTTGAAATACTTCTCAATTTTTGTTTCTTACAGTAACATTGCTTCCCTGATCAAATACAGGTATATTATCTGAGCTTGTTCAAATTTTGAACAAGCGACTTCCAAGACCCTTGTGCAGTTTTGAACTCCAAATAGATAGGCTGTGTAGAAAAAAAAAAAGTCTTTTCAGTGTGAAAGAATTTAGCTTTATTTTTTAGATGTGTAAAAAATTTACGGTGGGAATTTCACTGCCAAATAAGAACTCCAAGAACACTAAGCGGCTACAGGCATTTTGAGCATCATTACTGAAGAAATATTTGTCAAGCAGTGTTGCCACTAAACTCAAATAAGTTCTTTATAAATTGAGCTGCAGTGATGTCATAGTGAATTTAATTAGATTATCAACTATGTTTGAGTAACATTTCAGGTAATTGAAAAATTGTTGTTAGTACACTGGAAATCATTATTCCTGTTTCATCAGATTGATATATAATAACATGTCTTTATTTTCTTTAATTTACAGCAAGTGGAAACATTCCAGTTTTGCAGAAAGACAAAGACAACACCAATGTCAATGCAGATGTACAGAAGCTGCAGCAACAGTTACAAGACATCAAGGAACAGGTAAAAGTGCTGGATAAAAATTCTTTGGACCACTAAAATTGAAAAAACAATGCATCTTTTGTTACTTAAAACAAAATGACCTGTTGAAGTGCTTCAATTCTTAAATTTTAGTTAAATAACGAATATTTTTTGTGTGTGATGTGGCTTGTATGTCTTCTGTGTACAGGTTTAAAAACAAACTAATCGAGTGGCTGTGTTTGATAATCCATCTATTGAAGTATCTGTGTTGGTGTGACTAAAAAAGGATGTTCTGCCCTGTCAATATGTTTACTCTGCCTGTTTAGCTGACCTGAATGTATAGGTACAACAGAAGCTGTTTTCATGAAACAGTGTTAAAAGTAGATATTCTTTGCTATTCTGTATCTACCTGAATCTTCACTTGTCTGTTTATGAATTGCCTTTGAACAATGGCTGGAAGTTGCCTGTCGTATGAAGGCTATAGTTTATGTACTCTGCAAAAAATTGTGAGGTTTCAGTACTTTCGAAGAACTGTATATGTAATTTGAATATTTGGAATGTAAATTACAAAGTTGGTCTGTTGTAATTATGCATAGCGTTTGCAGGATGAAATTTATACAAATTGACACTATGTCAATTTGAGATTATACTGATTGCTCATTGGTTAAGTTAAATGTAATTTAGACATGTAATGATAGTTCAGATATCTGACAGTTACCTATTTAAATTGTTACATCTGTAAGTCTAGTTCTGTTAGAAGCGCTTAAGTAGTTGTCTACATGCAGAACTTTCCTGTGTTAAACTACTAAATTGTTTCCTTGCTTTTCCATCTGAACAAAGAAAAACTTGATTTTGAGACGTTTTTCTCAGTGAAGGACCTGGGGTTTCTGACTGTTGCATACACTTTCTTAGAACCCTGACAATGTGATTTTTGCCTTCCCCATGTATAACACGATTGGAAGAGACTTTTCATGGATACAGGAAACAGATGAGCGTTCTTACTGTATTACTTGCCTTTTCCTCTTGTAGGCTTATACAGCAGTCAGTAATACTTCAGTGATGGCAGCATTGCAGTTAGTTCTGGTAGTTGTTGCTCTCAGCTGTTCTTGTGTGTGAAAGCTAAGACTCAGGTGATTTGGTCACCAGTTTTAAGGCCCATATCTCTAAATGCCTTAAATCTGGGAGCTGATATGCTGTCAAGTTTTAACCTCAGTTGCATGTCTGTGAAGAGCTGTTCTTGTTGTGTGGGGACTGGGCCAACACCCCAGTAATGGAAATTCAAATATCCAATTCCACACAGATTCCTTTGTAGTTTTTGCCTGTAAAATGCAGATTAAAAATCTTAATTTGAAAAATGCATATCTGTCCTGATGTTAATATTGGGAGTGCCTAGGTATCTCTGACTTCTTACATCTACTGTTTAGCTCCCAGTTTACTCTTTAACAGTGGATAAAAAGAATAAGGTTACAGCTTTAACAGTTAAAATTGTATATGCAAAACATGCAGATGAATGCTTAAATGCAGGGAATTATTTTCTTTAGATGTATTTTTTTCTTGTCACTCTATTTTAGGAGTTTTTTATAAAAGATTGGAGTTCTGTTTGGGTATGCTAGTACTCTTAGGTATAGGGACATGGAAGAAAAACTACTTTATGTTACAGTTTTTCTTCTTGATTAGATGTGGTCTAAGGAAAACCGAAAAAAACTCAGGTGCTCTTTTATTCATAGCAATTTTGTCTTACCTTTTGAGATTTGCTAGCCAGAAGCTTTCTAACCTCAGAAAGCTATGCTGTATTAGGGAGAAGAGAATAATTGCTTTATATATGTCATTTCCTGCATGTATTTTCTAATTTCCATATTTGCAGTAGTAAGAAAGCTCTAATACTAGAATGCTTTGAGAATTTAAGTGCACTCTTTTGCTTTGAAATGCCCTTTTGTCCAATCATCTATTTTAAATCAGTATAACACTGAAGATTGTTCAGTGCCTCTGACTAGAAAGAGGTGGTTCTGGTTGTTCTTGTGTGGATCTTGGTTTGAGACTCTTTCATGTTTTCCTTAGTGTCTTTTCTGCTTAGTCTTGTGACAGGGCAGGTTGTGGATCATACTTGTGAGTAGCAAGTTGGATTTGATTAAAAAGCATGATCTCATATTTTAAATTTGTGCTTGAAATGATGCACAGCATTCCACTACAATTGTGTATTCTTTTGATTTGTGCTTTAACAGTTCAGTCTTCATGTTACAGTGATATTTTTGTACTTAAAATTAATTTGTTCTCTTTCAGCAGGTATAATCCTATGTTTCAACTCATACCTTCAATGATAATCTAATATGTTAGTGCAGCAAGCTTTTAAAACCATTTCTGGTGCCAAGCAGAAGTGATGCTGATGTCAACAGAATCTCCCACATCTGATGACCACACCATTCTTCAGGGATTCCCTGAATGTGAACCCTTTTGACTGTAATTGAAATACCTTCACTCCATTTCATACATAATCACCATCATCTGTCTTAATATCTTATGTATGTTCCTTCACCATACTTACATCACTTTCTTTCTCCTTAAAAATAAATTTATTTTGTCACTGTGCACCTGTATATTGTTGGAAAAACTGTTTTTAGTAATGAGGAATTGCCGTTTCAAGCAGTTTAAAACACCTTGTTAGTGGTAAAAATTGATTTGAATTGCAAACCCAGTTATACTTAAAGATACGATGAGCACTTTTTCAGACTACTTTTACTTATCCAAAAAGTAATTCTCACATAAAACAGGTATAGTGCCTTTTTATACCATTTGTTTTCCTTTGAAAGATGGGAGTCAAATGTTTCATGAAGATCAAAGTAGAGTGTGGTTTCACACAGAGAGCGTTCTAACAAACTAATAGTACAATGGAAACATATACTGTTTATTTCCTGCTGCTGTGGCACAAATTGGGTATAAGGCATGCAGTGAACTTTCTTCCACTGTAAAAGTGCATATAAGCTGGTGGTTAAGTAATGAATGCCCCTTGAAAGTTGGGTAAAACTCAGTTATTTGGACTTGCATTCAACTGGGAAACTGATGAACTAATCAAGAAAATGCTTGCCAGAATAGAATTGCATTGCAAACAGGAAGTTTGGTGGTTCCTGCCAGCTGAATTCTCCTACTATGTGAAGTAACTTAAATGTTAAAATAGTATCACATTAAGAAATTAAACAGCTAATGTATTTTAGATACTCTGCATTTGTATTAAGCAGGAGAAACTGGGTAATTTTCTGCAATTGTATGCAGCATTAGCAAAGATCTATAAAATGAAAGCATTAGTATTTCTGTGCTTCACTGAATGAAATAATCAAAATTAATGGTGTTTGAGCAGATTTAATTTTTTATTATTTCTGAGTCCCTTGAGCGATGTTTTAATTTTCAGATGATGGTGTGGCATCTGGACAGAAACAGATCTGTGTAACTTCAGTAACTCTGACATTATATTTAGGCACCAAAGCAAATAATTAAGCTAAAAGCATAGAACAAATGCTACAAGTTTTTTCTCCAAAGATAAGACTCAGGTTTGCTTTGCCAGTCCTTTATCAAAGGGCATCGTGTCATTGCTATCAGGTTATAGACACTTGTCAGAGAACCGCTATATATTCTTTGGAAATGGCAGTTCTGTTGATACTTGAAGACTAGGTTACTGGAGGAAAAATGCTCTAACTGTCCTATTGGGATGTGAAGGCGATGACTTGGTGTGAATGGATAAATGAACAGGACTGACTGACAGTTGGTCTTTTGAAAATTTTTAGTTTGAGAGTATTCTGTTATAGTACTGTGAAAATTCTGACAATGAATGAAGGTAGGCAAGGAAGAATGAAGGGGTTTTTTTAAACATAAATTGACATAAGGTCTTTTCTGGAACTTTTACATTCCTGATAGCCTGTTATACTGGTATCCCAAAGATTAAAATAGGCATTTGCCAATTCCATGCCAATTTAAACTCTGTAAACAGGCTGCTAGTGGATTTTTTTGGTCTTCAACTAAGCTATCCACCCTAGGAACTAATGCCTATTCATTCCATAGAAGGTATGCTTTAAGGTTATACTGAAGAGGGTTCCTGCTATAGATTCCCTCTCTCACGAGATAAACAAACTGAAGTAAACCCCAACTCATTATTATGGAAACAAGCCACAGGTGCAGGCTGGTGATAAAATGAATTTGCATTTGAAATATGAGTCCTGTCAGTATTTCATATTATATACGAGATCAACATTTATAAGTGTTAGATGTGAGTAGTGTGTCTCAGATCTGAGGACATTTTAGAGTTAATTTGTTGGACTACATAATGGTCTTAACAATTATAATCTGTTATAACATCTATTCATTTACTAACCTTTGATAAAATGTGATAAATGAAATCTTAATATGGCTGCAATATGTTTATGGTGAAGGAACATGCCTTACCAAAACTTCAACTTCTGCATGTGACAAAAGGTGAAGAACATTGTTCCTTAGTGGCTTGGTACAAAATGAACTTTGCTATTAAGAACTTTTAGATCTTTTTTGGTCGTTGGCTGTCACTTTAATGTTCAGCAATTAAAACTGATTTTAAAAGTTTGCTGTGCTACTGTTATGACTGAAGGTCACAGATTTATTAAATTGTTCTTCATTTGAAACTTGAGGTGTTCTTTTGGTTGAAAATCTAGATAACTTCCATGAACAAAGCCTAGAATTACCAGCACTGAATCTTTATGTATAATACTGATTATCCAGCATTTTTATTACTTCTGCGTGTGTTCAGTGCTTGGTGTTTAAAGGTAAGTATATGAATGACTGGGTAGCTTGAGAAGAAATTGATAAATCATTACCCAAGCATTGCACACATAAAGCTGTTTGTGGTGTTTGTTGATTGGAAGATTCTGCGACATAAAGGGGAAGCTGCTGGCAAATGTCTTAATGTTGCAAACTTGGGTAATGGTATTGAAAATGCAATGTCAGCCTGCTACTGGATTGTCTTATGTAAAGGGATCATATCAGGAAAAAAGCTAGATAGTGGGGGGTTTTTGTCATGATGGGGTAGGAAAAGCCCAAATATTTTAAGTCAATGTGAAGTAAAAACGTGATTTAAAAAAAATACTTAAGTTAGTGGCTACCTGGGTTATACTATGGCAATGATCTGCTATGCTTAAGAGGCATATTTATTGTTAAATTTCCATAATTTGTATATTGCATATTTGATACTGTATCACTACTGCCATTGACTGTGTAACCTGTCAAAATCTTTTACAGACTATGTGTCCTGTCTGTTTGGATCGTCTGAAGAACATGATCTTTCTTTGTGGCCATGGAACATGTCAACTCTGTGGAGACCGAATGAGTGAATGCCCTATATGCCGCAAGGCAATTGAACGAAGAATCCTTTTGTATTAAGTAGTAGAACCAGTGTATTTTATTAGCTTATGAAATAGTAAGGACATTTTGATGATTTAAATCTCCATGAGTTTGAAAGGCAGTAAAGGGTTCTAGTGAAAACATTTCTAATACTGTAGGACAGGTTCATTACATAGTAATTGTTTAAAGACTGTGAACGCACCAAATAAGAGAACACTATGTGAGCAGTCAGCTTTTAGCTTTACTCTTAAACATCTAAGCCTGAAGCTAATGTAAAGCAGTTGTTTGGTTTGGGTTTTGGTTTGTTTGTTTTTTTTTTTTTTCATTTTATTTCTGTCTTCTTCCCCTTAAAGCTTAAAGGGACAATCTTGTTTTGGTTTCGTTCATGTTTTTTAATGTATTTATCAGGTGTCAAGTGATGTAAGGGGCTTTTTTATATTGTCACTTCATATCATATATAAGCATTTAGGATTTTGGGGGGTTTATGCTTTTCTGGAGAATGTTGAAATTTCCTGTGACAGTTTTGATTCACAATAATTTCTGTCTTGAAATATATGATAATGCAAAATCAATACAAAGTGTATACGCAGTAGTAATAAATATACTATTCCCATAAGATCAGACCTCAAAATACAATACTAATGTAATTCTAACTTTATCACACGCTTTGTTGCTGAGGATGGGTTGGAAAAGGAACAGTAAAAAGAAAAATCTAGGTTAGAAATAGTATGTTCCCAAAACTGCACTTTAGTCTAACAGGTTCAAGCCAATTTAAATAGTGAATTTCTTCATTCTGCTAGCCACATAATTTTGTATGCAATTGCTTTTAACTTGACTGGAAAGGAAAACATTCAAGCAATGGGTCAGTTACCCATTTCAGACGAGTGAATTTGATCAGTTGTAGAACAACATGCATATGTATGTGGGCCATTTATAAAAATTCTGGGTATATGGATTAGTAAAAACTAGAGATTTTGCAAGATTTCCTCTCTTAAATTAGTTTTACTGTCTCCAGGCACAGTGTCAACAGCAGAAGAGATCATTTAATATTGCTTATTCATCTAAGTTGGGTGTTAACACCAGCGTTTATCTGTGAACATTACTGGGTAATATGGCAAATGAAGATATTGCTGACAGAGCAGTGAACTTTGTGAGCCATGCCTAGGTGAGTTGAAGCTGGCTGAAGGAGTTAGCTATCACTGATGCGACAAAGAGGTGTTCCTGACCCCGAAAATGCTACTGTCAGGAACTGCAAACTGTTAAGATTTTGGTAACAAGTACATCCTTCCATCTTTTTGGATGGAAGAAATTATGCTGATACAGGGATCTCCTGTAGCTAAAAGGAATGTGTGCTTACTCCTAAGTGATTTGGCAGTTTTCTGAGTACATAGTCTATGTAGCCCTTTGCCATTGTACAGAGTTCATTTGGATACGCTCTTTCAAAACAATAAAGAAATCCATGCTGGAGTCACTTAGGTGCCTTACTTGCAGCTAAGATTAATTTCTCAGTTCTCGTCGTGTATGTCAAAAATGTGGAAAAGGATAGTTCAGGAGAAGATCCAAGTAAGGATAAAGATGTAAAATTGTGATCACTTCAGATAAAGCGTTCTCAGTCTTTTGAAGCTTACGTTGATATATCTGAATTGTGCAAACCTTGGCAGAAGTCTCAGAAGAATGTTAATAGTAAACTGTGAAGACAGGTGAACTTTTAACCAGTAAGGTTTAAACACTGAATAGTATTTTCCTGGAAACAACTATAGTGTTCTATTTGAAAAACGTATGTAGAGTGGCTTTTAACATAGCAAAGTGATGTCACACACAGCTTTTCTGTAGCCATCTGTAATCCTGCTCCAGAATTGCAAATGTTCATCATTCTTTACTGGACACAATCTCAATCTAGAGTCAATATAGTAGTCTGTTTTATTTTGTATACTAGTAGTCATCTGTTCTCAGATAATCTGTGTATCTGTCTTCACCAACTGAAATAGCCCTCCCTTTTCTTCTTTACTGGGCCTCTATTCTAAAATATCAAAATTTCAAGGAGCTCTGGAAAGTTGTTGATATAAGGCTTTTTTTTCAGTTCAGCATTTCACTATCTCCACTTAAGCTCTGAGTGCACCTGAGTGCTCATTGCAATTTTAATTTGGCCAATATGCATGTCACTATTTATTTTTTTTTCCCTGTAGCATGTTTGGCAGCTGAACTTTCTACAGGAGGCTTCAGTTCCCTGTGAGTCCTCCTCTAAAAATAATTTGACAATGCATTCTGAGTTTTAGCCTGTAATGTTTCAGATTTGTACCTTGGTTTCCTCTGGCTCTGGTAGACATATTTTGAAAATTGTGTCCTGTTTATTCTTCAAGGGGACCTCTATAAACTATTGTCAGCACAAAGGCAGGGTAGATATCTTCTTGATAATGCAGCTCAAAACTGAAACTTTGGTATAGCAGTTGGCATTTTCCTAATTCTTTTTCACTGGAACAAGCCAGAAGTACTTGAAAGTATTTCAACTTAGCATCAGTTGAATAATTCAGCTTATTAACAGGTGAAAGAGCTGTATCTTGTATTGGGAAGGCTACCCAGTGCTTGCCTTTCAAAAAACTTAATGAGGAAAAATGTTTGCAAATCCATTACCATGTATGGAAATAGATATTTAGATTCACACACTATTTTGGGATTCTGATGTAGAAGGTGCACTAGTGTTGTTGAGGTAGCTAGTAAGTTCATTCATTCAATTTAGTCTGGTATAATGTGTGATGTGCAAAGAGCGTGAATGTTTAATTGGATAACACTTAAATAATTGAAGAACGAAAAACAGAAGCTCAGTTGGCAGCCAAAGGGGATCATAAAAAGTAGGAGAGTTGAGGATATGCCATTGTGCCTCTGTCTTCAGCAAAAGATGGAAGTGTAAATCTCATTATTGCCACTATTACTAGGGAACAAAGTGAAAATTAGGGAAGGTGTTTATCTCTAATATAATGTAAAATCATAAAATGTAAGAGTTGCCAGCTTTGTTTATTGTGATTATCCTCCAATATTTAATAGCAGTTTTGAAATTAAATTGAATGAAATATCTCTGTCTGCTTCTTGAAACAGTCAGGAAGGCACCTAATAATATATATTGTTCGAGTGTGATGTATGCTCAGATGTTTAAGTAAAATACTTTTGTTTTTTTTCCTTTTAGTAAAATACATAAACATTCACATCAGTACACAGTGATTTAAAGTATAAAGACAACCTAAGAGGCTAACGGAATATGCTAAATAGTTGTAGCTTCTCGACTTCTGTATAACTATGTTTTGACTTTTTTCCCCAAACCTCCTGTCTGTCACTTACTATACCCCAAGCTCGTATGGCACTTCTCAAAATTTGGGCTATTACTACCTACTTTCTATTTGTTGAAATATTGTGTACTTATCTGTTGGGGATTGGAGGAATCCTTTTTTGCTGAAGTGGATACTGAAAATTACACTGACAAGACAGTAAACAAGTTACTTTGTAAATGGGGAAGTTTGATTAGGACGTGTTGCTCTTAACTTGGACTGGGTGAGGATATAGCATATTTGCACAAGTACTTGTGCCTTGTTAGCATAGTCTTACAATCCATATCTTAGCTTCTTCTAAAGACGTGAAATGGTCTTTTAAAAATAATCTGATTTAAGTAGTTATTGTGTAGATATTTTCTAGAGATGAAGGTTTATGTATGCCTCGTTGTTTTTAGCAGTATTAATTGCAGTTTGTGTAAACACTAAATTGTTTGAAGAAGCTGCTTTGAGCTAGTGGTCTAAGCTTCCTCTACAAAATTAAATGTCAGAAACTTAATTTTACTCTTCCAGTAGCAGCTGGCAAACTGAAGAGCCTGTCCTGTTCTTTGTGCTGCATGGGTCAAGTTTTTGCTTAAAAAAACCCAACAACACTACAACCTAACTTTTAGTAGTGCTACCTCCTTTCTGTCAAAGTACCAAATTCTTTAGTTGTTTTTTGTCTTTGGGAAGAGATGGGGAACACAAAAGTTTTGTTTCGCTTCATGAGTTTTGATGTCTGAATACATTGCGAAGGTGGGTTTTTTTGTTTTTTTTTTTTTAGTGACTGTATAAATTACATACAATCAAAGTGTGTGATGTCCCACAATGTACATTGTGTATCATCCCTGCATAAGTTGCTGGAATTCGAAATACTGTCTTTTTATGCATTTCATAACTTGTTTGTGTTGACAAAGCAAAACTGTTCTCTCCAGAAGTTTGGGTATGTGCCATTTTTTATAGGTAAGCCTGTGGTAAATATGAAAGTTCTGACTCAGGGCTTTTTAACAACTTAAACACGTTCACAGTCTTCTTCAGCACACCTTGGAGAATATTAGAGATTTAATGACTGTACAGTGCCTTGATAGAACTATTGAATGGGCAGCAGCCATAAGAGTCCTTACAGAATGCAAGTATCTTGAATCCAGTTAATGAGTTGATGTTAATATAATTGTAATACCCTTTCCATGGATTTATAAGCTTGTATATACTTTCTGTAAAGGAAAATCAGCAAATTTAGGTGGTGGTAAGCTTTGTGAAAGTTGTTTGATTGTTGCACCAGTCACTGGTGTCTGAAGGGCATAGTATTCAAATATACAGAAGCAGCATTTGTGGCACAGATGGCTGATAAAATGTTCTGTATGTGACATTTTTACTCCGGCCCTGTAAGTGTTTTATAAGAGAGAGAGAAATAATCTGCAACAAATCTGTATGTTTCCATGCCATTTCATAGTTACAAAACCTTTAAGTCTCATTTTGAGCTTCTAGGAAATATTTCGTCCCAAGCTTACTGTCTTTATGAATGCAAACTATTCATATTAGAAAACAGGTTTTACCGAACCACAGGAACATTTTTACTTTTGTTAAAACCAACTTTGTATTTTCAGTAAATTGTAGATTTTGACATGATTGTTTATTGGAGAAATTTAAGGTTGTCTGTGTGAATGTAGTGGATTTCTGTATGCAGATAGCACTATATAATTGCTTTAATTAAAACTGCTTAGCGAGGTCTAAGCTTTTCGAAGGAAATGCTAATGTACTGTATGGTTAATAAAACTTATTATATAAGATGTAACTGAAGTTTTCAAAAGCTTTGATTTAAAAGTGTAATTGGATTGGATTAATACTGATTTTTGTGCACACATCATTGGGAAGGGACTGGTGGCTCATTTGACTTCCTCCTCCGTAGTTGTAATGATGTTAGATGCCACCACAGAATTAGAAAATTGTATGCCTGAACAAATGGTCGGTAACTCTGTCAGTTGTTGGCATACAATGTTTAAAAGCACGCCAGGCTTTCTCAATAAAGTCTGCAATCCAGACTTCAAAAAATTTGGATTCTTTATAATGTATCCCTGAAGAGTGAGTTTGTAGCAACATCAGAAATGCTGTGTGCCTTTGAATCTGCCAGATACTCCAATATTCTTTAAGCAGCACAGTAGAAGTATGAAGGGGGAATTAAGTTGTAACAACAAAAAGGTTGATTTGAAATTTTTATCTATGGTATATATGCAGATTTTTCTGTAAATACGCAGTTCATAATACTGATTAGAGCTGCTGTTAAGTGTGTGTTAGACTCTGGATTTACTTATAATTGAATGGCCTTTACAGCTCTGGCTACATGAATGTCATAATTTGAAAATCTCCTGCCAGATGTAGTAACTCCCATATTCTGAGACAACAGTTCCTGCATTGTAGTTTATACTTCTAGGATTCAATTTTTAATGGATGCATTCAAACGTAATGAAAGGCAACAAAACCAAACAAACTTAATGGCTTAGTGTTTTAATTTATCATAGTGTACAGGTAAAAAATGAATTGGCAGGATAAAAAGTTTGTTGTTTTCTTCCTCAGTTTCTTTTCATTTTTCAAGATTTCAGCCATGGTTTATATGACAGGTCTGTATGGAAACATAATATTTTCAGATACCTTTTTAAAAACTTTTTATTTGAAAACAATTGATGCAAGTTGTCAAAATACATTTTAAATAGCCACCTGTTCTTTGCTTTTGGATTTAGGAACCACTCATACTTCTTCATACCTGTTCATTGAAAGTGATGGAACAGTGTTGGCACAGATTTAAGACTTGGTGTCTGTGGTCTCTAGGGTTTCAGCCCCTAATGTTGGTCACGATGGAAGCTGCTGGTTTTGCTGGTGTTTGATATTGGTGTTTTTACATTTTGAGAAGGCTGCTTCATACTGTACAATATAATATACTTTATAATATAATTACTATATGATATAATTAATCTCTGTATAATGCAGTTTGCTTGTCTAACTAATTCCAGCTGTATCCTGTATGCATCCATCCATTTGCAACAGGGATAATGGAACTCCATGGAGATTTCTTTTGGATTTGATGTTTAATGAAATGCAGGGGGTGGTTCTTTGTGGGTGTACTCTGTTTTATGAATCTGTGGGAGGTAAGCAGACAAACTGAAAGCTGAGCTGCTTTCCCCAGTGATGCTTGTGCATCCTAAAATATATTTCTTCCACAAGGGGTCAGTAGCACCCTCTGTGACAAGTTTTTTTTGTAATATAAGCACAAAGCAAACAAGGGATAAGGATAATGATGATTGCATTAATATGTAGGTGGACCAGACCTCACTTGTCCCCTTCTTCAAGCAGGCTAAGTATAATTAGCTTATTTGCTGACTTCAGTAAGCACCATATTCTATCCTCTGACTCCCATGTGACATGAACATTGCTACTATTGATTAGGGCAAAGTTCCAGTGGAGTGTTTACCTTTAGCTCTAGTTGAAAGTATTCATTTAGTCTAGCTTTTTTTTCAAAAGCATGCAGTTGGAGCAGATAAACTGCATGAGAGAGCTTGTCCACTGGGCAGGGGAAAAGAATTCTTGTATGAGTGTCCCACATATTCTTAATGATAACCACAGTCTCCCTAGATGGCTAGAGCTGATTAATATTTTCCACCCTATAGGAACACAGCTTATAGTTAAATATGCTTTGAAGCCTATCAGTCTGCGTAGTGGAAAGAATGTCCAGCTTCTCAAGGCTTCCCGGAGTATGCAAGTTCCTTGGAGACAGAAGTTTGAAGTAACTCATTATCTTTCTACCAAGAGGCTGAACAGACCAGACAAAAATTTCCAGTTCCCTAGACAAAAATTTCCAACTCTTATACTAAAGTTGTATTTCACGAATAGAAATCTGAAATGGTCAGTATTGTTCAGGTTGGCACAGGTTCTCACATTACACTTGCTGAATTAAAAAAAGACCTTCCTTACCTTCGTGTTTGCAACTCTTCTCTGTTTTGCATCTCTTAAATTTTTGCATTTCATACCTTCAGTGCTTCTGTCCCCAACTACTCAGGTTCTCCATTCAGTTCTTTCTACGTCTGTTTTTTTGATAGCAGAATTGTGTCCCTTCCTCCTTGACATATCCCTTCTCAGTATAGTTCTTTCCTCCATTACACTGAGGTTGGCACAGTGCTTTGGCATAGCACGGTGGGGCCCTATCCTTGTGCCTGACTCCACTCTTAATTAATATACTGACAGGAAGAATTCCTAAATTCAGTCTTAGCAAAATTTCACAGTAATTTCTCTGTATTGGCAGTATAAGAAAGAGATTTTGTCTACCACCTGAGGAAAGGGTAGAGGTACTTCATTTGGTCTAGTTACAACTGTTCTCAGCCATATGAGAAAAATCAGGAACAATTAATTGTTTCAGGGTTGTTTGATTTTTGTGGGATTTTTGTTTGGTTGGTTTGGGTTTGGTTTTTTTTTTTTGTTTGTTTGGGGTTTGTTTGTTCTTTGTTTTGTTTTGTTTTTTTTTCTCCCATAGGTTTCCTGAAATTTTCATTGTTACTGTATCTCAGGTTTGGTTTTTGGAGACAACTTCGGGTACTTCTGAGAAGTTAACTCTGGATGGAAGTTACTGTCTCCTAATCATGTGTGTCTTGCCCACTGAAGTTGCCCAGAGGAAGTCTGTTCAGTTCAGTAGGATTGCTTTCAAGAGCAGGCGTTGTTTGCAAAGAGAACAATTCTGTTACTGGGCTTCTTGATACCTCCACAGAGAAGTATGAAGAAGTTCTATGTCTTGGAATGTTACCACCTTCCAAGTAATAGTCTTATACTAAGATTTCATAATCCCTACTGTATATATGATCATAAGGTATCTTGTGATACTCTATATGAAACCTATATAAAATAAATAGCAATTATATAGCATTTATTTCCCAGTGGGCATGTTACATAGTTTGTTTGCTTTGAAATACAATGCTATCATTCTTTCTCTCTTATTCCTTCTTTATGAGACCTGTAAAATAGAGACTACTTCAGATCTGTCTAGTCACAGCTGCTTTTCCTAACACAAAGGCCTTAGTTTAAGCTGTTTCTCATATAGCCTTACAATTCAAAGTATCACGCCCAATGTTTTTGACTGTATTTGTCTTATCTATAGCACATGGCACTTAAAGCACCTAATTCATATTATTCTTGTGTTTTAGTCAGGTGATTCTGATTCTGTGTAAGGCTGAGGGAGTCTTCATGTAACTGTTGTCCGCTTAAACAATTACCCCACCACTTCATGTGGAGGGCACAGAGTCTGGAAGTACTTCACACTTTGTTGGGATAGAAAAGCGTGTTAGAATAAGGGCATAGGGAAACCTAAAACTAAACTGCAGCCATAGGCCTAGTTCTTAGGAATTTTGTGAGGTGAGAAACTCAGTTGGCAGATTTGACTGAGAGCAGAGTTGTCTCTTGAAGAGTTTTAAATTATTCTATTCCCTCTCCTGAGAGTTTGTATCGTAGATACATTGAGTCTTGCTGTAACCCTGCCATCTCCTTTGTCTTGCCTGTCCCACCACCCTGGATAGGTCCCTCCACACCAAATCTCCCTGGAGTAATACGTCCTATAGTTAAACTGAACTATTCCACATGTGCAGAAGGAAGGTGTGGGAGTTATTAGCCAGTCCCTGATGCAGAAGTTACGGATTTGGTCTACGTAAGACAACACAGAGGGTACAAAGGGGTGAGTGATCCATTTACTGTGAACTGTGGCTGTCTGCAAACAGGCAGCAGTGTAAAAAAGCTACTGCAGATTAACTGCTCAGTAATTAGCTGTGTGAGGTGCTTTTCCCTGCAGCAAGCAGTAGTTGGATGCCACTTACACATTTAGAGTGTTGCAGCCAAGTAGGATTGAGTGGGCCAAGCCCTCTGGGCATCTACTTGTCCTGAGCTGACATTGCTTCATTAGTAAGTAGCATGGAAATTAATCAGATATGAAAAGCATATCTTCATTAACAAGATTGGGATAGCAGACATTTAGTTTGGGGCTCTATCTGCTATGCTGAATCAAATAGTGACACCACGGTTTGGTAAGCCAGTGTTGAGTGCTCCAGGAAAAGTTAGTCATTGGCTGACTTTGTAGTTCTGCTTTTGTGAGTTTCTCAACTTTGAGAAGGTAGTCAAATAGTCTTCAGAAAAGAAAAAAGAAAAACAAACATCTGGACAGGAGGTTGAACAAGGGAAGTATTTTTTGTTTCTTTTTTTTTTTTTTTTTTCTTCTCTCCCCCTCTTCTAGATGGGAACTGTGCATAGTTTTCATTTCCCTAGCCAGTTTCCGTTTAGTTAAAAATGTTGCCGTCGTTGCTACTTGTTGCCTGGATTGGCTGAAATCAAACATGTATCCCATGTGTCTGTCCCACCTGTTCCCAGCTACCACCCAACCTATCCACAGGGTGCAAGGATGCACTTGTGGGGTTATAGGAGAGCTAGCGCTATTCTTTGTAACTTTCCAGTACAAGGAAAGGACTTTATTCTCTAGTGTTGATTTGGTCTGGTCTTTTTCTTTCTGTCCGTCTTCGGTTATCAAATGCAGGGCTGCCTTACTTTTTTCAGATGGCATGTAATTTTGAGAGGAAATCAATGGGGCATCACAGTTGTGCCTGGAATTCTTGAATTTGGCCTGTCCTTTCATATAAAATTAGGCCTGAATTATTTTTTTTTTTAATCAGGTACAGATGTTTAACCATTAAGCTTGCCAACTTGAATGTTCATCAGAATATTAATAGAGGTGACCTCGGGCTGGCAGGATTTTATAGGGAAGATAGATAA